CATGAGGATGGGCACAAGGCAGAAGTACAGAAGGTATTCAGCAAGAGTGATGGTCTCCACCTAAAAGTGCATCCCTGGCCACTCTGTTCACCCACACCTCGGGCTTCGCCTCACCCCACTGACCCACAGCAAGTAATTTTTCCCTGTCATGCAATTTCAGCAGCTTGCTTCCTGCATGTCCCCTTTATTGATGGCCTAAAGGGAAGCCATGCCCTTGGTCTCTTCCTTTCTAAACGCTCAGAGTCCTCTTCCGTCCTTTTTCCCATTTAAATGCTCTAGGGTTGTCAGCTTATCCTTCCAAATGACACATCACACATGCGGTGTCCCTCTACCACATTGTCAAGAGAACAGATAAAGGACTTGACAGTGCAAAGTCAGTCACAGACAGAGAGCCTCCCACTAGCCACCGCTGCTCATGGTGAAGAGGACAGGATCCTGGATGGACACTGACATTTAGCAAGGAGTCCATGCTAAACGAGGTAGGGGATTTCCCAGAAGCTTCAAATAGGTGATGTTCCTGTCATGGTTGCTCAGATTTTCTGACATGCTGGGAAAATGTGAAAGCATCACCACCTCTAGTGCACTTCCTCATACACTAGAGGGTGCCATAGTCTTGAGTAAATGAGCACATCTAGGAAGAGTTTTTCTTTAACCCTTTCCATTAAGACCCAAGAAAGGGAAGCAGCATCTGAAAGTCAGAACCTCATCGGGCATTAAGGTATCAGCTAACTCTTCCAGAAATATTCATTGCATTGGGATCTATGCCACAGATTTTCAATATGAGATCTTGGTTTTAAAAAATTATATTTAACAGTAATAATAGCTACCTATTTGATACTATTTTCCATATGCCAGGCACTGGCATATAAGCACTTTATATGTATTAGCTTATGAAATTAGAACCTAGAAGGTTACCTGCAATTTACAAATGGGGAAACTAAGGCAGAGATTAAGAAACTTGTCCACAATCACATAACTAGAAGTCCAGCTTTGGAGTACGCATTTCTCTATCTCTTTCACATGTCAGCAGCATCTTGTGTTCAATTACCGCAGTTCTTGTCAGAAGTAAAATAAATGTTTCCCCCTTTCCTAGTCAGGCAACCGTGATCATGTTTAAGACCCCTTAGTACCAAAAAGTCTTTCCTTAGTACACCATTGAATCCAGCTCTGACCCTTCAGCTCCACTTTAGACTGGAATGATTTTGTGGAGATTTTACTGGTTTCTGGCTGCCATGGTTCTAAACACAACCGACACAGTCTCTCTTGGATTTCAACAAGCTGTTGGCTCACATTTTTTTTTTTTTTTTTAGCTCTCTTCCCAAACAACGGTGAAAAGGCTAGAGTGAAAATGACAAATTGGTTTCAATTACTTGGCAGTACACTTGAGCTAATTGACTTTACAAAACTCTTGATTTACCTACATGGGATATTTTATTCTTACTGGTTAGTTCCAATTTACACATGTGGGATTTTCTGAAGGTGTTCGGATGTTTAATAAATTTAGATTTCAAATTAACTAAACAACTCTCTGTCCTGGAATTTTTTTCTTCACCAAAAGATCTCATATTGAAATGTTTTATTCCTGTCTTATGTTGTTGGTGGAAATTTATTAAACACATCCACAATTAAGTGACCTTGGATCAAATCTAAACTTGATTCTCCCCCTTACCCCAGTTCCACCAGCCAAAGGCTATGGGAACTCTTCCCCCCAAGTTTCCATAGGAGTATGGAGGCAGAGAGAGCTTCTTCTGCCTAAGAGATCCTTTCTGGAAGAGTTGTGGGAAAATTAGATTTTGGTGTGCTTTTGGAGGGAATCTTTTTATTATTAGCAGCATTACTGTTGTAAAATGAGAAGACTTCTTTCATTCTTACTGGTTAGTTCCAATTTACACATGTTGGATTTTCTGAAGGTGTTTGAACTGGACAGATTCTCTGTAGACACCCCAGGTCTAGAGAAAGTCCAATTATTTCTGAGATCTGCATTATACTGATAATGTATGAAGACTGCTGGCTCTAGATAATGTGGTAAATGGTAATGAGAATGCTTGAATTCCATCCTGGCTCTTCCCACTTACAAACTATGAGAGTTTGCGTAGGTTACTTAATCTCTCTGTGCCTCAATTTCCTCATCTACAAAACGGGGTAATAATAATCTCATGGAGGTGGAGTGGTTATAAAAACCAAGTAAGTTATCATATGTAAAATACTTATACAGTGCTGACATTGAATATGTACTTGATAAAAATATGTGCTATCAGACAACTTGATTTTGTAGTGACAATCACCATTATTATCCAGTGTTATTTCCAATAGTGACTAATTGTCCTGGGTAGGCATGGGGGGGGGGTGGTACTAAAGCTGTTGCCCTTAGAAAGTAAAAGGAAAGCAGCTTCTCAAAATCCCTGTGCGTAACATCATCACAGCTAGCGGTCAAGTTGTGACTCTAAATCCAAATGAGGGGCAAGGAAACAAAGCAAGAGAATGCTGCTCAGCAACAACAGGTCCCAACTCTTACTCTGAGTGGTAAGGCAATTCTAGGAATGTCTGAAAGAGGTCCTGCCAGTTGTACCTGAGCATGGTCTGGTAACCAGGCCTTCTTTTAGGGTCCAACTATAGGCATGTCTGAACAGAGTCCATCCCCAAACCTGCGTGGCCTAATTAAATGGTCAGTGATGTTTCTATTCTGTTTGATGACATATTCCAGGTTTTTAAGGAAATACAACCCTTGCAATCAAGTCACACTTGGATCATCAAATGTCATCTCATTGCCTTGGTTATAATGGTAGCTTGATCTGAGAGCTAGACCCCTCATTAGGGGATGCTGGCTTGGCCATTCCATGCTGCTCAAGGAATGGGCAGCCAGATTTCAAGGCTCTAGACAAGGTGCATTATGGAGATGACCTCCTACAAAGGCCAACCACCTCTCCTAGGCTAAGAGGGAGCCAAACCTGTTTGCTAACAAACCAATGATACAGCACCCAACCATCCTCTTCAGTCTATTTTAAAACCTGGGGGATTGTAGAAAGTGATTTGCAGAAACATTGCTGTCATTAGTCATAAGTTTGCCGATTATTTTCTCTACCCCAAACTGATAGTGAGAGAGCCCCAAGAAAATCATTTGTTGAAATAATGGGTGACTATGGGAAAGGGATAGTGATAGATAATTCCCAACTTTGATATCTGCTCAAGGGACAGATTTGCTGGCTGGCCACTGTTTGAGCAGAGGAAGAGAACAATGGGTACAGAGGTAGGCAGGTGGCGGTAGAGTAACCAGTTCTCCCAACACTGGTCACTGGCAAAGGAGCAAGGGTTGACACATCTTGCTGCTACCCTAACTGACAGGATTATGCTACAGGGAGAAATTGCAAAAGCTTCCTTGAAGATCTCAAGTCAGAGATATTATGCCATATTGGAGAGCTAAGGAGAAGGCAGACACTCGCCCATGCCCACTCTCACATTAAACCCCCAAAGGACTGTGTTCATCCTGCCACACACAGGACCTTGGGGGATAGGCTGTGTGACCCAGAAGAGAAACAGCAGCCAAAGAAGACCCTGGCAAGTGATTGCCAAGAGCATATCAGGTGCATAGAAATGATTATTCAGAAATTACTTTGAATTTGAAGTTAATTTTCCATTTATTAAAAAAATCCAGTTTTTTTCCTAAAACTTTTAAGCTCAGCCTACAGATATTATTATTCTATTTTTAGTTTAAGCAATCTTTAACAACTGCTTTTTGAGGGGCCTCTATTAACATTTAGTCTCATTTACAAACTTAGCTCAATTCCTTCAATATTTTAAGTTGCATTTATACAGTAAATTATTAAATATACTTAATTTCTCTTTTAAGTTCCCCAGATGTCTAAGAAAACCTCCCCCCATGTGCTTGAGAAACTGTTATACATCTAATAAACTTATAAAAATGTAAAACTTAAGGCTTCTTAAATGTTCTAATGCAAATATAAAACAGTAAGATTTCTAGTTAGAGTTACAAGCTCAAACTAATTTACTCAATGTACCATTTGAATTCGTATCACAAGATTGTAGCTCTGACAGGTCAGATTCTTTTAAACATTGCAAATACCTAAAATACAAATATGGACAGATTCCTCATCAAAAAAAAAATCTCTAAACATTTGTGTACATAATTCTAAATCTTCTTGGTGTTAAAAATATACCTTTCACTAGTAAAGAATTAGGCCATCCAACAACTTAGGGTACCTTCTCAGATGTTGAGGTGAAAGGTGTTCAGTGTAGGAGCAAGGACACACTGCCCTCTGCCTCCACACGGACCAGGTGCAAGGCCGCTCATGGAAGTCTGAATCTCATACACAGCTGCTTCTTCACTTGACTGGGTTTGTGTTTTTTGGCCCTTAAGATATTCACATGCATACCTGCCTAGTTTTTCCTATCTCTTAGTCCATGAACCTCTTATATTTATAAAAGCTATTCAAGTGAGTTAATCTACATCCATTTGAATTATGGATATGCCTTATGACTTGGTCTGTCCATAACTCATCACCATGAAAGTCATTATATATACAGTGGCCAGCAACCTTGGGTGACTCTTGCTCTCTCTTCTGTTCCTGCTTCTTAACCCCCAATCCCAATTAAGCTGGAACTAGGAAATTGAGGACAGGCAAACAGAAAAAAAGCTCTTCCTCGTTCAGGTTACTGGGGGCATGGTTGGAGCTGAGCTGGGGAGAGGATAGGAAATGAAATGGACATCTTAACTGACAAGCCTGGACTTTTCAATGACTGAAAATGATTGGAAAACCATAGGGTTTCCCTGAGTTGTCAATAAAGGGAAGGAAAAGGAGATTCAACAGAGTAGAAGACAATGATTAGGAAAAAATTTTTTTATGCTTTTATGTCCTTGAGATCCAATTATTCAATAAATAGGTAACAGTTGAATAAGGACAGTTTGCCTTTTATTAAGCCTAAAGAGATGTCTCTCTCTGCTTTTGACTCTTGTTAGAATGCATGAGCACTTAATCTTCCTTGTCAATTTTCTTTGAGTTTCAGGTGTTATTTCTATAACAAAAGGGAAAATCCCCGTTAGCATCCTGTCATGTTCATCTCTTGAGTGATATTTTGTCCCCTTACAAAAACCCACAGGTATGTTTCTGTCCAGAATTCTGTAATTCTTGTTTAACCCAAAATCATACTTAGTTCTTCATGGTGGCTTCACCATTTTAGTCCTCTTTTCATGTCTTGGGTCCCCAGTGAGTCCAATGTATTTCTCAACTGCTGAGCAAAACCTCACAAATTATCTTGGATATAAATCTCTTGCCAGGAACCCCTAGAAGGCTGAAGCTGTCATCATGCCCTCCCCTTTCTGAGAGCTTACCTCTCCATTTTATAGTTAGTTCCCTCTGGGGAGAGTAGGAGTTAAGATGAGACCAGCTGCGTGGAATCTGGATGTAGCACACAGGCCCAGAGCTGCAGTTACTTTCTCTGGTCTCTGCTAAATAGACCATCTTCAAGCTCTAGACCCATGTGAGGCCCCACTCCCCCACCACAGCTTTGCATCCAAAAATAAAGGAGAAACTCTGGCAGGAACCAAAGTGAGGAGACCAGGAGAGGAAATTAAAATCTTTCAGTTGTAGTGTATTAAGTCATTGCAGCACTCAAAGGCAGCCATTCATATCATCCAGGAAACCCTGAATAAATGTTTCAGTAATGAGACATGCAGAAAGGAGCTTGTCACCTTGTGATAGTCTTTCTGCAAAGAGTTTGATTTAAGGTTGGTATCAGAGCATGAACCATGTTAAAATACAATTACAAAAGAAACAGGAATTTCATTAGTGAATTGCAAGGAACAGTTTGGAATTGAGGAGGCTGGTGAGAGCTGATAGGTGTTGGCAGAGAGGAAAAGAGGAGAAGAGATGGTGCATAATGGGAGAAATAACTGGTCCCTCTAGTGCTACACTGGGCAGAAAGATGGAAATGCTGACTTCAGGGCAAGAAAGGGAGAAGATGACTCTTTCTTTGGTTGAGATTCATGACCCCTTCAGGGAATCGGAACTTCTACCTCCCATGAGAGCAACCACTAGAATTGCTGCAACCCCATATTCCCATTTTCCTACCACCTCCCACCCAACACATGTCCTCCTATAAACAGGACTCTAATTGGCTGCTGAAAATGCCTTTCTTGGGGAAACTGAGTAAAAGAGAATTGGAGAGGTAGCACTTGAAGTTCCAGCTCTAACATCTACTATCAGTGTGACTATGTAGATACCAATAATTAGGTAGTCATTAAATTTCTTCCTGAATCTTAGTTTGCTACACACGATAAAGAAGAGCCAGGCACATAACAGGTGGTCAATGAACAATAACAGGTCAGTGGTACCAAAGGGGAGGGGTGGGGAAGGATACATGCAACCTAAGAATGCCTCAAATAGTTGAGAAGAAAATATTAGAAATACTGCTAGTATGCATTTTTATATAAAAGGAATACGATTTACTCACATTTATTTGATAGATTAATAATAGTTAATTATTAAATTAACAACTAAATTTAATTATATGATTAAAATACTTAGAAAATGCTTAGCACTCACAGTAAGCATTTGCTCTAATTATAGAATTTGTGTGTATGTGGTGAGAACACAAAATTACTTTTAATCATAGAGATATATAATTTAAAATTTTGAGACCTCTGTCTACATAATTAGTGTTCCAGTAAGAAAGGAGAAAGAAGAGCAAAAGAATGAAAAAGAAAAGAGGGATTTTAATTGAAATGGGGTATTCACATATGGAGTATTTATTCACAGGGATTTCCTCTTACTCTTCTGCCCTCGGTCATGGGCCAGAGAGTCTCAACTGTGATCTCAACAGGGCAAAAGTTAGCTTTGCTTCATTCTTCTACTCTGAAAGTGGCCTAGAAATTTCCATTCCTTCTGAAAGCATGAGTGGCAGCAGCTTTCCTTTATGAATAGAGAATATATTCCAAGTTTCATTTCCTGTCCCCTTCTCTCAGGCTGTGCTGGTGGTAGAGAGCAGTTAAAGCATGAGTCTAGTCCCATAAGGGTGAGTATCTTTTAACATGTATCTCTTTACTGAGTATCTGATGGACTCTTAGACAGGATTTTAGGTGCTGGTCAAGAAGGAATTGACCCAACATAGCTCATCTCCCCCACTGATTACAATGAAAAATTCTGAACACAGTGCAAAAACAAACACCTGACAATTCTGAAAAGTACATGCTATGTCCACATTGGTTTGGAAAGTCAGAACTTGAAGAACCAGAAAAGGGTGGCAGGAGCTTTTTTGGATACTTATTTTCATTTGCCTCTCAGCTTATACCAGAGGGTGTCCCAATACTAGAAGTAGACAGCAAGGATCCGGCAAAATCTATGAGAACACAAGGCATCAAAATGTGTGGGATATACATAAGTCAGTCCTTGTGGGGAAATTTAAAGCTTAAGTATATAGACAAGAAGAAAAACCTTAAATTATAGAAGTGCTCACCTTAAGATAACCAGATCAAAGGCAAAATGAGAGAAAGGAAGAAAATAATAAAAGCAGAAATTAAAAAAAAAGATAAAAGCAGAAGTCAATGAAATTTAAATAAGAAAAATAGAATCAATGAAACAAAATACTCATTCTTTTAAAAGATCAATAAAATTGATAAATGTCTAGCCACACTGAGGAAGGGAAAAAAACACAAATTACCAATATCAGGAGTGAAAAGGGGGACATCACTGCTGGTCCCACATAGACTCAAAGGATAATAAGGGTAGACTATGACAACATTATAGTCATAATTTTGAAATCTCAAATTGAATGAAACTATTTTTAAGAGATACAAGCGACTAAAGCTAATATAAACATAGATAATCTTAACAATCCTATCTCTACTAAAGAAATTCAATTTGTAGTTAAAAATCTTCCCAGCAAAGAAACTCCAGACTCAGATGGCTTACTTGGTGAATTCTACCAAACATTTAGGGAAGACATTATGCCAATAATGTGGGAAACATTCCAACTTAGATTATAAGACCAGCATTATACTGATATCAAAAACAGCTAAAAATATTATAAGAACATATAGATTGATATAATTTGTGATCTAATACAAAAAATCATTAATAAAATATTATCAAATCAATTCTGGCAATAAATAAAAAGGATACAACATCAGGACCAAGTGGAGTTTACCCCTGGAATGCAAAGTTGGTTCAACATATAGACAAATCAAGCAATGTAGTCTGCAATATAAATAAACTTAGGGGGGAAAATCTTATGATTATCTCAATAGATGCAAAAAAAGAATTTGACAAAATTTATCACCCATTCATGATAAAACTCTCAGTAAACTTGGAGTGGAAGGAACTTACCAAATTTGACAAATAGAATCTACCATTACCAAACAAAACAAAGCCTTACAATGACTACAGAATATAATTGATGAAAGTCTCAGTACTTTATTCCTAAGGTCAGGAACAAGGAAAAGACATCTGGCTGTCATGATTTTTTATTCAACATCACACTCTAAGTCCTAGCCAGTGCAATATGGCAAGAAAAAGAAAGGCCTCAAGGTTTAAAAGGAAGAATAAAAACTGCCCCTATTTACATGGAACGTGATACACACACACACACACAAAACCAGTGGCTATACAAAAACTTTCTCAGAACCAATAAATAAGTTCAGCAAGATCCCAGAATACAAGCTCAAAATACAAAAATATAAAGTTAGTTGTATTTCTATATACTGACAGACAACATTTGAGAATTGAAGCAAACAATAGCATCTACAATTGTCCCAGAGAAAACAAAATACTTAGGTGTAAACTGAACAAAACATACAGAAACTGTGCGTCAAACATTACAAATTACTGATTAAAAAAGAAATGAAAGAAGACAAGTAAATGGAGAGATGTCCTGTGTTCATGGATTGGAAGACTCATCATTATAAAAATATCAATGCTCCTCAAATTGATTTATGAGTTCAATGCAATTTTTGCATAATGGAACAAAAGCAATAAAGTTATACTTTCTTCACAGATAATCTGATTACTGATTATATTGATAAGTATAATTTTAAGTGTATATTATACTTAAAGTATATATAACATTCCAGAGAATCTACAAAAATAATCATAGAACTAATAAGACAATTTGACAAGGTCACAGGGTGTCAGTTCACTATACAAACAAACATTTAATTTTTATTTTTTAACAAGGAACAGTTGCATATAGAAATTTTAAAAACCAATGGTACTGTTTACAATAAAGTCCAAATAAATGAATTATTTACATGTAAAGTCAATAAAATATGTACTGGGAAACTGCAAGGGAAATAGACATAAAAACCACAGAATGCTGAAGAAAGAGACGAAGAAAATATAAATGAATATAGAGAAATTCTATTTTCATGGAAGGAGAAATCAATATTATTGGACTGATAATAACCTCCAAATTTATTTATAGATTCAATAAAACCCGAATGTCCCAGCCAGAATTTGTACAAATCTATAAGATAATCCTAAAATTTATAAGAAAAGGCAAAGAAACTGTAATAGCCAAGACAATTTTGGGGGAAAGTGAGTATACTATAAAGCTAATCAAAGTAGTCTCATATGGACTAAAGGATAGATAAATATAAGAATTAGGGTCTCCCCTGGTGGCGCAGCGGTTGACCGCTGGGCTTCGAAGCTGCCCGCAGCCTCTGCAGTGCCGGTTCGATCCCCAGCTGCCAGCGAGAGTCCCACATGGTGCAACAGACCTCTCCTGCTGTGCCCGCTGCTCCCCTCAGCAGTGTGTTTCGTCCGTCTGCCTGTTCTGTTCCCTGCTCTGGCGCTGGTGAATTCTCTCACCCTCCCGCACTTCTGACTCTACCCAGTGCTTGCATAAATAAATAAATCTTTTAAAATAAATAAATATAAGAATTAATGGAACAGGCTAGAAAGCCCAGGGATAAGCCCACACAAATATAATCAATTGATTTTTAAAAAAATATATATGGACACTTCAAGACATATCACCCAAAGCAGTGATAGTGAAGGCAAAGATAAACAGCTGGGACTACA